ACCGGTCGGGTCGTTACATCCTCCCCCAGTTAAACACACGTTCATCCTCGAACGTGCCCAAAGTTGTTCCAAAATCCATCAAATCGTTGTGTAGCTTTCACATGCACATACCCGGGGGTGATCCCACGTCACCCTATCCCATACAGGTCTGATAGCACAGCATAAAAGAAATTTCTAAATTCAACCTAGCCCACAAGCCTTCGAATCAAATTTCCAACATTCAAAATTTCCTATAAGACGAGAAGTTTGCATTTACATACCGTATAAGTCTGAACAATCTGTACCAGAAGCCGTAACCATAACTCAAATACTCAAATTTAAATACCGCATAGCTCGAATGCTCACAGCAATGATTTCTAATCACAATATCTACTCAAATCTACTCAGTGCCGGTAATAACCTCATATCAGACAAAACCTCATTTCAAAACCTTTGTACACTGCCGATGATGAAAGAAATATACCAAATTCATAACCATTCATTAGACCAACAAGTCATGGATCTCTCGTTCCTTCTACAAGAACTATAGCCAATTTCAAAGCCGACTTCCGATGTTATCCTCCCAATTATACCACAATCAAATCCGATAGCATCCATTCTAGGCTCAATGACCTCATCTCATCCCTCACGACCACTCTAGTGACATGACACATCAATACAATCTAAAGCCACAACCCGTGCAATCCGTGCACCAGATAACAACATTCCAAGTATACCCAATCGTAACAATGACCCAAACAGGAGAACTGTTCCGCAAGCTCAACGGGTACCACCCCGACGCAATGCTAAGAACCCATCACACACCGCAGACCCATAACACATGAATTTTACACAAAGGATTATATTCCCACATAACTCTGCTGCAATACGTGACCCTATCCAAATACTGGTCCATATGAAACACCTCAAGACACCCTCCTAAAATCAATAACCATGCGCAATTCGACATAACATACCCAAAGTGCATTACCATAACCACGGAGAAGAAAACGACACCATGCCCCACAAAACCCGAAAGAACATGACCAATACACCATCAACCAAGCAATATCCAATACTATTCTCGCTCAAATTCCGCTATAAGGCCATAATAGAATCGCACTATATGTGCATGTAACCAACGAATCGCAATAAATAACCTCCGAAAGTCCACAATGACTGAATCATAACACATTCTATCATCTGGCTAGCTCCGGCCACAACTTCACAGTCCACAACCATGCAACGATCTGCTCCTGAGAACTCCCAATCTCCAATTCCATAGAACACATGAATCACCATATTTGATTCCACCCCCACCGCCCGAATGTCTAACACTTCTCTCATACACAATCATCCCACGAAAAATGCTTTTTAAAAAAAAATTCTTCCGTGCCACCTGGAAAAAAATTGAATATCAACAGTCGATCAACCGGGAGAGTGCCGCAATACTAGCGAAGTACCCATAAATCAAAACATACTGCCCCTTCTGAAATGTACACTCCCATCAAGCCATACAAAATAGTAATATCATTTACCTAGACATCGAAAACTGTCCATGCTGCCTAAGAATTTATGTCCTTCCCTTCAAAACTGAATTGTGACCTTGTACATGTAAATCCTATTCACGCACAACACCACATCGATTATGCCATCATGTGACAAGCATAAGAATTCTATTATCAACTCTGAGTCACTAGCAAATTACATACCTTATTAGTCAGAAACCTCGTTCTTGCTTCTTTCCAAGAGAAAATCATAACACACATCATGTTCCGTACACGGGTAGAAAATATCCGATTCAAACCATGGTAGAAAATATCATGAACACTTTGAAATGCATTTGCACATAACCAAGCTATCTGAACCGAATTCCTCTAACTTCACCAAGCCACACAGGCTGCCAAATCCGGGAGCATTGCCACGAAACACCTGGAGATACTAGCCACGTCATAAGTACACAAATAACTGATCATACCCATTACTGTGCTACCCCAACCTACTACCAAACGGTCCTATTTCTCCAAGTCCTTTCCAAATTGCCTTCCAATTGCTATTTTATTTCCTTGTTAGAACACTACTATCCTTAACTAAGACTTGTCCCACGAACTCTAGCATAGAATCACACCTCTCTAAGGCTTATAAGCCGCTGAATTCCCTTTTTATGTATCCCAAAGGTTCCACAACCAAAATGCTTACTCCGATGAGACCTTATGTGAACCTAAAACTGTTTCCTTCACCTTTTTTATACTGAAATGCATAATTCACAATGATATAAAATGCCACGAGTCTCGACACCATTCAATGCAACTCCCAGTTTTCTAGCCATATATATAAATCGTGAAAATTCCAAATCGCTACATATAAATCTTGAATCCATTAGAACAATTCTTGAGAGTCATCCACTATACTCAAATCTGGAATTAACCGACCAAACAGACCGAAACGACATGTGCCCCATTAGCACACCAACACCCAAGGGAAATAACGAGTAACCCACATTCCTATGCAACTGAGCAAATTCTCGCTCCATGTACACTACATTATTCGTGAATAAACACTCAATTATTTTATGGTCCTCCTATAACCATAGAGTGTAATACAACTTGTGTCCAGAAATCCCTTTACCCGAGTCATCCTCGATATCGACCTCTGCAAGTCATAACTGATTCACTAGTATACCCCAAACTGAAACTAATACGACACATAACTGTTCAATCAACTCGTCGATAGCAAACTCCCCCCACTTAGCCTCAATCTACAATTATATAAAATTAGAACCCGCAAGGATTTCTCCTTCACAATTACCAAGATATCGCACCGTTAACCCGCCAGACTTTTCAAAATCTTTTGTTAAGCTTCTCATAAACATTCTGAATCGCCAACCACAATCACACACATGACCTCCTACTGGGTATCAAGTAATATTCTTCGCAAAAGCTTCATCAACATCACGCCTCCGCTAGCTGCACACAGGAGATAACCCACATGTGGAATTCTTTACCGACATCTTCCAATGACACCGCACTGAGTGCAACGACCACTAAATCGTATATTCTCCTGAGTTCATGCTCGCCCACCATTTGTATAAGTCTGCACTTTCCCTATTGACATCAAATGTACGTCAACAATACCTTCCAAACTCAAGTCATATTGCACCTGACATGATAATTAGATCTTCACGCCTCTATTCATTTCAAACACACTCCTTTCTACCATATTCAATTTTCCTTTGAACACTAACCATCACTCCAAATAGAGTCTGCAGGCCGATTCACATACTAACATGATTCCAAACCATTCTACTCTTTCTCAAGGCGCATGATTACCCTACTAGTGAATTCATATGCTAATCTGCAACTCTTACTTTGGTTAAATCATCTCCTTTAAGAAACTTCTCAACCTCTGCTTCTCCTACATGACCTGCTAGTACTTCAACCACCGCGAAACACTTCCCTTCATGTATTCCCTCATACTTTGCTACCCAACCACTGCATCAAATGGAAATGTACCTCTGTTGCACCTGAACCAATAAAATGTTACCGATTCTAAGTCTCTTCGAAGATCATCTTTCTCGAGCCATCAACATCAAAATACCCATTCGCAACCACAATTACTACACAATCACTTACTCTTCTTGAGTCCAAACTCATTGACAAGACATGATAATTTAATTTGCCCCAAAATTTAAAAACGTGAAAGATCCTTCAAAACATTCATACTCGAGACTGTACGTTACATCAAAACGACCCCAATTCAAGCCTAATGAACTTTGAAATTTCTAATTTCTACAAATGACTCCGGAACCTATCAAATCACGTCCGATTGACCTCAAATTTTGAACACAAGTCATAAATAATATAACAGAGGTATTTCAATTTTCAGAATCGGATTCCGACCCCCATATCAAAAAGTCAACCCCCTGTCAAACTCCTCAAAAATTAAACTTTCGGCATTTCAAGAGTAATTCCTCTACGGACTTTCAAATAATACTTCGGACACGCTCCTAAACTCAAAATCACCATATAGAGCTACTGGAATCATCAAAATTCCAATCCGAGGTCAAATGCTAAAGAGTCAAATTTTGGTCAACCCTCCCAATTTAAAGTTTTAACAATAAAATTCTTTCTTCCAATTCGATTCCGAAATACCTGCAACCCAAAACCGACGATTCACACAAGTCAAAATACATCATGCAGAGCTATTCATGCCCTCAAACAACCGAGCGAAGTGCAAATGCTCAAAACGACCGGTCGGATCGTTATAACATCCATCCTCCAGTAGTCCACCGACATCATTATTCAGTCGGGCATGGGTTTCCAAAGAAGACATGGAAGCTAAAAGTGGATCAAATGTCACAAGAATTTCAAGCAACTCAGACTTTGATCCAAAAATTATTAAAAAAGAAAAGCAAGAAAGGAGCAATGGAGTACTCTGAGTCTGAGGAGGAGACTGATTCTGAATAGGCTATTTGAATGCTTTAAAGTTGAATATAGAGACATGTTTGATAGTTGGTTGAATTGTTATAAATGTTACTGTTTGTTTTGTAGTAAATATTGGATTTGGGATTGTTATATTAGGCTTTTGGATTGTTATATTAGGTTTTTGGTTAATTATTAGGTGTTTGATTGACTATTTTATTTGGCAGGTGGTGTAATTAAAAATACAGTATGATTCTGCGTAAAAATGTCCAGACTTGCGACTGAATTATTCACAAATTTCACCAGGAATTACCCAGATTTGCGACTGATTTAGTCACAAATTGAAATCTTCTAACAAAATTTAATTATGATTTGCGACTGAATCAATTGCACATGGAGAATTTTTGAAATTTTTTAATTAATTAATAATTCAATATTTACGATTGTTTCAGTCTCAATAATTAATTAAAAATTAATTTTATTTTTAATTTTACGACGGAATCGGTCGCAACTTTATATTTGTATTTATTTTTTTTATATTTCTGATCAGCGACTGAATCAACCGAAAGTGTGGAGCAGAACATAGTATGTTCCTATCGTATGGCTTACGGCGGCGGTGGCATTGCAATTAGTTATTATCTGGCGGCGGAGCTCGTCAAGATTTTGGATGGTTGCATTAATCGCTACCATTACTTGTACGCTTCTGATCAGAGGATTGGTGGTTGTATGGCTGAGATTGGAATTTCTTTCACGAATGAACTTGGTTTCCATGTATACGTGCATATCTTTTATAAATCCAAGATTTTTACTTTTGTACAACTACATCATTGTCATTTTAAAAATTATACTACTAACAGTATCACTAGTTATTTTTCTTTTGGGTAAATAATTTAGTATTCAATATCATCCTTTTTTAACCATGAGGACCAGCATATAGTATTAGATTAATTTTATAAAATACTTATATAAAATATCTAGTTTGATGAAATAACTATTGATTTATGTGCCCATAAATTCTCCCGACTATCACTGTTTAGAGAACCAAAAAGTTTTTCTTTGATTAGAATTTATCATATAATGTTTTCTAAAATTTTAAGTTATACTCCCTCCATCTCATGTTATGTTGGTCGATGTAGTTTGATTGGAGACAAACTGTAAATAAAATAAAAAAATTTATATTTCTGCAACTTTTGTCTAAATTGACACAAACATTTGTAGGACTAAACATTATGTCATTAAAGGTTAAATGAGAATTTTATCGTTATTTTTGGTAAAGAATAAAAAGAAAAATATACCACATAAAATGAAACTGAGTGAGTGATCATACTATTTTTTGATAGTTGTCAAATATGTATATTCATATGGCAGAAATATGTATTTTTTTAATAATAAATTAAGAAATATATGTCTGGAATCACATCCAATGTTGGACCCTTTAACCTTTGATATTCCAAACAACAAAATCCTTTTTAAACACACAATATATTTTGATGGAAACAAAAAATTAAAGTATGAATAAGTTCAGTAGCCTCTTGTTTCGTGTTCTTATTCATTGTAGAATGTAAGGAAAATAGCAATTACTACTATATATCTTATGTAGAAACTGAAAGATCTGTTTAATCTATTTGTTTAAGATGGATATAAATGAAAGCGCACTAGGGCTTTTGGCTGCTCATCCGGTGGCGCCGTTAGTGTCACTGCACCATTTGGACATGCTCCACCCGTTAATTCCATCAATGAGCCGAGTTGAGTCAGTCAAGAAGGTTATTGAAGCTTATAACAAGGATCCAAGTCGGGCAGTGCAACAGAGTTTGTGTTATGACCTAAAGAGAAATTGGTCAGTATCAGTGTCATGGGGTTACATAGTTCAATTATATCCATGGCTAATGAATGTCAAGGAGTTGGAGACTCCAATTCGGACGTTCAAGACTTTTCTAGGGTCAGAAGAGCCATTCACATTCAATACACGGCCAAACTATGTAGAACCGTGTAAGAAGCCTATAGAGTATTACTTGGATCAAGTTACTGACATTGGCAATGGTGAAACCTTGACTAGTTATAGTAACAAAATTGGTGATTCTAACAAGCAATGCGATAACCAACGTTATAAACCAGCTTTAGCAGTTCATATGGTTAATGTCACCGCGTCAATGTTATCTCCCAAAGTATGGAGACAGGTAAATTTCTATTTTCGATGTTTCATTTTATGTGAACCTATTTGTTTAAACTCGCGAAGTTTATGAAAGAAAAATATTTTAGAACTCAAGGTCTTTATAAGAGTACTTCCTTCGTCCAAAAAAAAAAATGATATTTTTCGGATTTCGAGAGTCAAATGAGTTATGTTCTTTGACCACGCTTTTTTCATATATCTTTTAAATATTTTAGATTATTAATTATTGTGATTTATACTATTTTTTTTAATGTAATTTTCAATTATATAAATTTTACATAAAAAAAACTTAAAGATTCTATGTCAGATCCCATAGTCAAAGTTAAGAAGTTTTACTCAAACAAATTTGAAAAGTATATTTCTTTTTTGGATGGAGGGAGTACTATATATGCATTTTTGTAAGAACTAGAAAGTTTAAAGAGTAAAAATTTTTCCAAATATAGAAATGTGTTGTTCTTTTCGGAACAGATTAAAAAAAAATATAATCTTTATAAAATGAAACAAAGGTTATTTAATTTGATGGAATCTTTCTTATTAATTTTACTAACATAAGATTGATGAGTATATATGTACAAACTTTCCATATTTTATGAAAACAACAGGCACCACGACGGCAATGTTCCGAGGTAATCAATGATATTGGCAGCATCCTACATATCAGAATTAGAGGTTGCAATCAGTGGGAATCAGTAATGCCACCCTTTCACGACAAGTATGGAGAGTTTGCCTGCTTTCAAAGAAAGGTTCATCCAGTGATTAATAGGACAAGAAATTTAGAATTAGTATTTGAGAGATCAGCAAATTCAAACCCCTACCTGTTAACCAATTATACAGAAATGTCTGCTCCTAGATCCCCTCTGTTTTGACCTATGATTATCGTTTGTAAGCTATTTTACTTGGAGTTTTCGAAAATATTGATGGATGTGTGTCCGATCCTCCAAAATAGTAATCCGACACGGGTGCACCAGCTGTTTTGGAAAGTCCACGCAATATAGTTTGCAAATAGGTACGGGACTTGCATGTTGTTGCCTTGTCCATCCCAAGTGGTGTTCCAATTATCTTGTCTTCTACTATAGGAATCCATACTTGGACTACTCCATGTAATACCACATGTAGTCGGACTTTGCTATAACAACATCCTTATATAGCAATTATTCACTATAAAAGTCAATTTTTTCTCGGAACCAATATTTATATCATGTTATAACATATATATCCTCTATATAACAACACTTCACTATAGCGGTAAAAAATATCAGAACAAATGAGGTTGTTATAGAAAGGTTTGACCGTATAAAAGTGTATATGGTCGAAATAGATTTCGGCCTTCCTACGTTCGATCGAGTTCAAGTGGTAAGAAATCGGAGTGGGATTTTGGGAGTGAGATCCGAAGACAGTACTAACGAGCCTCGAGTCTGAAGGCTGCTTGAGGAGTCGGCTCGATAACCTTATCGAGCTCGTGACCAAATCGATCCGCAAGGCATTGCTTCGAGGTCGAAAATGCGCGACGCCCATCCCGAAGGTCGAACTTGAGCCAAGACCGAAGGGCTCGACCCAGTAACGAGTTCGAGCCAGTATCGAGCTCAGTGACAAGAGTCGTTGCAACTGCACCAAAAGAGAGAATCTTGGCGGGAATCGAGGAAGAGACAAATCATCGTGGCTCCTCCACTATATGTTTTTCTTTATTATTTTTTGTTATAAATAAAGTAATGACCCTCTACTATAAAAGGGGGATCCTTGTAAGCTATGGAGATACTGAATACACTAGAATAAAAGATATTTCCTTGTGCTTGTTTTACTTTAGTTTATTCATTCTTTCTGTTCATTATTCTCATTTTTCATAGTCAAGAATATTCGTATTGCTATCTCTCTATACGATTTGTATCAAAGGGTATCACGTATCCTTAGAACCATACATAAATTTAACGTTATCTGATTTTTCGAGTAAACAGTTTGGCGCCCACCGTGGGGCTAAGGATAACAGTGATTGTTTGACATAAATATGTAGTACACACCAATTTACAACTTCAAATTAGCAATGGCTTTACCTATCAACCACGAAGCCGGCCTTCAAGATGAAACCAACAACTTGGCACCCGGGGGCGGAAGGCCACTTGAAGATGGCACTGAGGCTCGAATCGAAGTACCCAAAATTCGAGCCGAAGTACCATTGAAAGTCAATTCATGAATAGCTTTGGAGGCGAATCAGCGTTCCGAACCGGAAAAAAGCATTCAGGGCGGTACTCGATCCGTAGCCCGAGACACCCATAACGCGGGAGAAATTGGAGCTAGCTTATGAATGATCTTCGAGATGCTACAAGCCCAACAAGTAGCGATAGCCCAGTTACAGAGCCAAACTCATATACAAAGCAGGCCGGATCCCAATCCGCTTCGAGAAATCACCCCTAAAACGAAGCCCGCCATAGTGAAATCAAACGAGGAAGAATCGGGGACCACTCCCAAAATTACTAAATTGCTCGAGGAACTCACAAAACGAGTCGAAGCCAATGACAAGAGAGTGAAAATGTATAATGCCAGGGTCGACCAAATCCCGGGGGCCCCACCAATGATAAAAGGGCTTTATTCGAAACAATTCATACAAAAGCCTTTTCCCTCGAGTGCGGCCCCAAAACCAATCCCCAGAAAATTTGGTATACCCGAAATTCCCAAATATAACGGTATGATCGATCCTAACGAACATGTCACCTCTTACACATGTTCCATCAAAGGTAACGATTTGGAAGACGATGAGATCGAATCTGTGTTGTTGAAAACGTTCTTGGAGACCCTCTCGAAGGGAGAAATGATCTGGTATCACAATTTACCGCCAAATTCCATCGATTCTTTTGCCATGTTAGTAGATTCGTTCGTTAAGGCACATGCTGGTGCCATAAAGGTTGCAACAAGGAAATCGGACCTCTTCAAAGTAAAGAAAAGGGGTAATGAAATGCTGAGGTAATTCGTATCCCGATTTCAAATGGAACGCATGGAATTGACACCGGTCACAGACGATTGGGCCGTACAAGATTTCACCCAAGGGTTGAACGAGCTAAGTTCGACAACATCACGTCAGCTGAAGAAACATTTGATAGAGTATCCAGCAATAACTTGGGAAGATATACATAACCGATATCAATCGAAAATTGGGGTCGAAGATGACCGGTTGGGAGCTCCGCATGGACCCGTGCATCAGAATAGGACCGTTACTAAAAACCAAAGGAGATCGACAGAGAACAAAGGTCGAACAGAGACCGATATCAACTGTATGTCGAAGATCGGATGAACAACGGTTCAACACGCAATACAGTTCGGAACAATCGAAGGATTGATTGAGGGCAAAATTCTCGGGGACTTATGAGTAAGAACAGCTTTGATAAATATGCCGATCCTATAGAAGCAACTCGGTTATCAGAGTATAACTTTAGCGTTGGTGCATCCGCCATCGTGTCGGCTATCGGACGCATCAAAGACACCAAGTGGCCTCGACCCATATAGACCGATCCTGCCCAAATGAATCCCAATCAAATGTGCGAATATCATGGCACCCATGGTCACAGAATGAAAGATTGCAGACAACTAAGAGAGGAAGTAGCCCGCTTATTTAACAAAGGGCACCTTCGGGAATTTCTGAGTGATAGGGCGAAGAACCATTTTAAAAACAGGGATTTAGGCAAGCAAAAAGAGCAAGAAGAACCGCAGCACGTCATTCACATGATCATCGGCGGCGGCGATACCCCTCAGGGACCAATGCTTAAACGCACTAAAACATCGATTGTGAGGGAAAAATGATCTCGGACTCAAGATTATGCTCCCATAGGGACTTTGTCCTTCGATGATGAAGAAACAGAAGGAGTCATCCAACCTTAAAATGATGCACTAGTAGACCGTACTCATGAATAAAACTAAAGTTAAGCGTGTGTTAATCGATCTAGGTAGCTCGACCAACATCATCAGATTGAAGGTCGTAGAACAGTTTGCCCTGCAGGACCATGTCGTACCCGCAACTCTTGTTCTAAACAGATTCAATATGGTATGTGAAACCACCAAAGGCGAGATAATCCTACCAATAAACATGGCCGGAACCATCCAGGAAATGAAGTTTCACGTGATCGAAGGCGACATGAGGTACAACGGCCTTTTCGGAAGGCCATGGATCCACAATATGAGAGTTGTATCTTAGATCCTACACGAGGTCCTCAAATTCCTAACATCGAGATGTGTCAAAACAGTGTACGCAGAACAACCGGCCGCAAAAGAAATGTTCGCCGTTGAGGAAGCGAAATCAATATCCTTGCCTTCGCCGATAAAGGGATCGGGCTCAGAAGGAGAACAGGGCACCAAATAGCAATCATAGATGTCGGCTTCGACCGAGCCAGATAACCAGAAGATCGAAGAAGATGATGGTAAAAGGGTCCCTCCATATTTCATGATTCCCGATGACTCCGACGCCACCAAATCGACAATTTAAGAACTAGAGAAAATCACACTAATTGAGCACTGGCCCGAGGGAAAGGTATACTTAGGAACGAGGTTGAGCCCCGAACTAAGGAAGAAACTTGTTCAATTTCTTATCGATAACATTGATTGTTTTGCCTAGTCCCATTTAGATATAGCAGGGATCCCACCGGACATAACGATGCATTGGCTAAGCTTGGACCCTGGGTTCAGACCGGTGAAGCAAAAAAGAAGACCCCAGTCCAAGGAAAAGCACATATTCATAAAGGACGAGGTAACCAAACTTCTCAAAATAGGGTCCATTCAGGAGGTGAAATATCCCGAATGGTTAGCCAACGTAGTTGTAGTGCCTAAAAAGGGAACAAACATAGAATGTGTGTGGACTATAAGTATTTGAACAAAACATGCTCCAAAGATTCCTTTCCGCTGCCCAACATCGATCGCATGATCGATGCCATGGCCGGCCATGAGATCCTCACTTTTCTCGATGCCTATTTCGGGTATAATCAAATCCAGATGAACCCGGAGGACCAGGAAAAGACTTCATTTGTCACCAAATATGGAACGTATTGTTATAATGTGATTACCTTCGGGCTAAAAAATGCAGGGGCTACTTACCAACGCCTAGTAAATAAAATGTTCGAAGAACAAATAGGTAAATCAATGGAAATTTATACTGACGACATGCTAGTTAATTCCCTGCGCGCAGAGGACCATTTGACCCATTTGCAGGAAACGTTCGAGATTTTGAGGAAATACAACATGAAGCTCAACTCCCGAAAAATGTGCTTTCGGGGTCAGTTCGGGCAAGTTCCTCGGCTTCATGGTGTCAAACCGGGGAATCGAGATTAACCCCGATAAAATCAAGACCATCGAAGACATCACCATTGTGGACATCGTGAAAGATGTACAAAGACTAACATGACGGATTGCCGCCTTAGGCCGGTTCATTTCGAGATCATCAGATCGAAGTCACAAATTTTTCTCTCTACTCAAAAAGAAGAACGATTTTGCTTGGACCCTATAATGCCAACAAGCATTGGAGGAACTAAAACGATATCTATCGAGCCCACCACTACTTCACACTCCAAAAATGGACGAAAAACTTTGCTTGTACTTGGCACTATCAAAAATTACCGTAAGCGGTGTCCTAATTCGAGAAGACCAAGGTACGTAATTTCCCGTTTGTTATATAAGTCGGACCTTAGGAGAAGCAAAAACTAGATATCCGCACCTAGAAAAATTGGCACATGCACTGATAAGCGCCTCTAGAAAGTTAAGACCGTACTTTCAATGTCACCCCATATGCGTATTAATCACTTACCTGCTTCATAATATTTTGCAGTAGGCCAAACTATCAGGCCGAGTGGCCAAATGGGCCGTCGAACTCAGTGGGTACGATATCGAATAT